TGATTGGGATAAATGGAAAGGTGCCATCCAAGCTGAGTTAGATTCACTCAATAAACGAAAAGTTTTTGGGCCTATTTCCATTATACCAAAAGGCATAAAACCTATTGGATATAAATGGGTTTTCACCAGAAAAAGAAATGAGAAAAACGAGATCACGAGATATAAAGCTCGACTTGTTGCACAGGGATTTTCCCAAAGGCCTGGGATCGATTATGATGAGACATATTCCCCTATCATGGATGCAATTACTTTCAGATACTTGATGAGTTTAGCTGTCCATGAAAATCTTGAGATGCGTCTCATGGACGTTGTAACTGCTTATTTGTATGGATCATTAGAAACCGACATATACATGAAAATCCCAGAAGGAATCAGAATGCCCGAAGCACTGAACTCCAAACCTAAAGAGTTATGTGCGTTAAAGTTGCAAAGATCTTTATATGGCTTGAAACAATCCGGGCGTATGTGGTATAATTGTTTGAGCGAACAATTATTAAAAAGGGGATACTTAAATGATCAAATATGTCCGTGTGTCTTTATAAAGAAATCACATAATGGAGTTGTGATAGTAGCTGTCTATGTTGATGACCTTAATATTATTGGGACAGCAAATGAAATACAAGAAGCAGTTACATTTTTGAAAGGCGAATTTGAAATGAAAGATCTCGGAAAAACCAAATATTGCCTTGGCTTACAGATAGAGAGAGTACAAAATGGGATATTTGTCCATCAATCTAACTATACTAAAAGAGTACTGAAACGTTTTAATATGGACAAAGCTAATCCCCTTAGTACTCCGATGGTTAACCGGACATTGGATGTTGAAAAGGATCCATTTCGACCATGTGAAGAAAATGAAGAAGTACTTGGTCTTGAGGTACCATATATGAGTTCAATAGGGGCTCTTATGTATCTTGCTAATTGCACCAGACCAGATATATCTTTTGCTACCAACTTATTAACAAGATATAACTCGTCACCTACGAGGAGACACTGGAATGGAATCAAGCATATATTCCGTTATCTCCAAGGAACAATCGATCTGGGATTATTTTAGTCAAATGATAAAAAACATGAAATGATCGGTTTTGCAGATGCAGGATATTTATCAGACCCACATAAGGCGAGATCTCAGACTGGCTATGTTTTCACGATTGATGGAACTGCATTTTCTTGGCGCTCTCAGAAACAAACACTAGTTGCTACATCTTCAAACCATGCTGAAATCATTGCACTGCATGAAGCAACTAGAGAAAGCATCTGGCTCAGAAACATGACTCAACACATTCAACAGGCCAGTGGATTCTCGAATAATAAAGACCCGACAGTGATATTCGAAGACAATGCAGCATGTGTCGCTCAGACCAAAGAAGGATACATCAAGAGTGACAGAACTAAACATATCCCACCAAAGTTCTTCTCATACACTCAAGAGCTTGAAAGGAACAAACAAATCAAGGTTCAATACATCCGATCAAGTGATAACGCAGCAGATTTGTTTACAAAGGCGCTTCCAACTACAACATTCCGAAAGCATGTCCATAACATTGGAATGAGACATCTTCGAGATTTACACGGATAATAACTCGAGGGGGAGCATGTGCGGCTGTACTCTTTTTTCTTTATCTCGGTTTTTTCCCACAGGGTTTTTCCGGATAAGGTTTTTAATGAGGCAGCATAAACGCACATTGAATAGTGGTAATTCCAAAGGGGAGTATTGTGAATAAGTGGAATGTACCACTATTCATAATAGTGATGTGAATTAAATTTGTATGGAGGAATGAATAAATAGGAATGGGGAGATGAATGATTTGTGTAGAAAGTGTCGGTAGAATTTGCCTATAAAAGGCACCCCAAATGTATTGCATGGACACACTTTTGAGAAGAAAGAAGAAATTCAGTATAATTTATATCCGGTTTCTATTTTGTGTTCTTTATCTTTTCCCATTTTTATAACAGCAATGTTGAAATGTTGGTTGAAGGAAAATGAACACTAGCACACTTGAAAAAAAAATACTACTAATGTTGAAATGTTGGTTGAAGGAAAATGAACATGCTGACTCAGCAT